ACACAGGTAGGATGTCGGAAATAGCAACAGTGCTATTGTGGCGATCTCAGAGTATTCAGACATAACTTTAATCCAGTTGTCTCGAACGTACTTTTAAGGCCGCCGTCATTTGCGATCTCCAAGCAGCTTTTTTACTCATTTTGCGGGCTTCAGCGTTTTGTTTTTGACCGTCATCGGTCACGTGACCGAGAAGCGTGGCTTGACGTGAGTCAAGCTTGGCACAGACGGATGTAACGGAGAATCCGGTAATTTTTCAAAATAAAACATCTTTCGTATTCCGAAATAAATAAAACGGAAATAAGGCAAGTTCTTTCTGTGCGGCCTGGTACCAAATGCCCTGCGGACCGGTACCGGTCCGCGGACCGGCGGTTGGGGACCCCTGCTCTAAGACATTGGTGTCAAACTCAAGGCCCGGGTGCCAGATCTTCCCCGCCACTTAATTTTATGTGGCTATCAAAAGCAAATCATGCGTGCCAACTTCACTGATCCTTGCTAAAATCTGTACCATAATGTCAAATTGTCCTGTGTAATATATAACATTGAGATTTTGCAATAATTTTATCACCGTGTTTCTACACACTTGAACAATAATTGAACAAACACCAAACAAATAGTTGACGAGAGTGATTTCTAAACTATTAACCCATCAGTTTGTTGTGTATAACTAAGAATATGATGAGATGATTAAACATTTCTTCGGTTTCACTGTCGTAACAGCCCTACGCAGGAAGACGTAACTTCAAAGTGGCCCGTGGCTAAAATGAGTTTGACCCCCTTGCTCTCGGACACGGGTACAAAAATTCGACATTCAAAAATTCATAGCTCACTCCCTGTGCATTTTAGCATTTGGCTGCAATGGACTTTGTTGTATGTCTCAGGGTGCTTGGCATCCCTGACAATTTTCATCGCCCGAGGTCAAACGTACCAGGATTCAATTTTGTTTTCAAACCCAAGGTGGCGCTACATAGCCATTTTGTTTGTGACAACTTTAAAATATTGACATTTTCACCAGGCCCGATGAGTGTGCAAAATTTGGTGAGTTTTCGTGCATGCTTGAGTCCTCCAAAACGTGATCAATCTGCACAATAATAATAATAATCATCATCATCATAATCATAAGAATAATTATGATTATTATTATTATTATTATTATCCTACCAAACCTATCGGGGCTGCACATCGGTCACCGCCCTAATTATACCGCATGTTAAACAGGTTAAAAATCAGGTTTAGCGATCAATAAGATGTTCTGTTTTTCCACAGAAACTAAACATTGATTATTATACTCAACATCTTTTCAGTGTGGTCCAGTGGTTAGCGCGTTGACCTCACAGTGCAGAGGTACCGGGTTCGATTGCGGCTCCGGCCTCCCTGTGTGGAGTTTGCTTGCATGTTCTCCCCGGGCCTGCGTGGGTTTTCTCCGGGTAATCCGGTTTCCTCCCACAATCCAAAAACATGCATGGCAGGCTGATTGAAAACTCCAAATTGTCCCTAGGTGTGAGTGTGAGCGCGAATGGTTGTTCGTTTCTGTGTGCTCTGCGATTGGCTGGCAACCGGTTCAGGGTGTTCTCCGCCTACTGCCCGAAGACAGCTCCAGCACCCCCGCGACCCTAGTGAGGATAAAATGGTTCGGAAAATGGATGGATGGATGGATGGATGGATGGAACATCTTTTCAAAGTAAATGTGTGATGGTATCAAAATGTAATACTGTAATATTAAAAGCTTTTTGTTTTGTGTAGAACAAATGAATGGCTTAGTCTCTCTCCCTCTCTTCACAGGGCTCTCCATAGTGTGGCGAGTGATGGCAGGAGGGTGCTGGCCTACGCGATTGCGAAAAGGATGGCTGCACTCAACAGCTTGGACTTAAAAGACTCTGATGGAATGGTAAAGTACAAGTTTGAAATACTGTCTTGTACTTTAGGGGGAAATTAAATCAAGGTTTATTGCCACCAAAATATTACAGTTTTTATTGACTGCAAAAGCTGAATTAGCAATGTCTTTGTTTTAAAGTTCAATATACAGTCACACCATAGTCTGTTCCAGAAGGCTGTTCGAAAACCGATTTGTTCGAAAACCGAAACCACGCACTTTTTCAAAAAAAAATCTTTTTTGAACACGTCTGCTCACAATGGAACGCTACACGAGAAAGCGTCACTTCCTCGTCTACCCGAGGAAGCGTCACTTCCTCATGTAAGGAAGGCGAGAGGAGTCAAGTGGCGCATTCAAGTGCGCTCGGTTTGGTCGAGAACTGATTTTCAGTCGTAATCAGAGGCATAAAAATGTGTAATTTTTGGTCGAAAACCGATTTGGTCGAGAACAGAGGCGTTCGAAAACCAAGGTTTGACTGTAGCCTGTCCTGTAGGTGTTTATTAAGGTGTGGTTCAGATGTCAAGACCTCATAGGGTCCGAATTTGGGAGACCGGTGCAAGGGGGGGTCATGAAATGTTTCTGTGCCAGCGCAAGTCTAGTCTGGCATGTTTGGGGGTGTGTCACACCTCTCTGGGCATTCCGGCGCATGGAGTTGCCTCAGCCCCAACTTATCCAACAATTTCGTAAGCGGAAATAGTCTGCGCTCTGCATAAAAATGGGTGTATCGTCATTTTCAGCCTGGGGCAATGGTCTAGTTCAGCACGTGAATTTGGTAAACGTGCTAAGCCTCAGTGTGCGTGCCGTCGGCGCTCATGATGCTTCTCGCAATTCGGTGACAAAAACTAGACTAAATTTTAGACTAACTAAAAAGGAGGTCTATTGTGCAGCGCAGGTTTTGTAACGCAATTTTGGTGTATTTGATTGAGGCGCAGGCAGAAAAATTCCGTGCTCTGCGATCGCGGCTGGTGGATTATAATCATGATCATCATCACATGTATGGCGAAATATTTGCAAGGAGGAATCATGCAGTTTACCTGCCAATGTCATGCACGGAACAAATGAAAGATGCGGTCACGATTGGACGGGCAAAGGCTCGTTCCATCTATCAGTGGCGCAAACGGCCCGTGACGCTTAACTGTTCCTATGCAAAGTGTAGCATAAACCCAAAAGACAGAAAACTCCACACAATTCGTACAGTTTGACTTGACTTTGCACTAGACTTGCGTAGGGCATGAAAATTGGGCCCTCAGAAGTTGCTAATCCAAGCTGCTGGACCCATTTTTTGGCTCTCTTGGATCCATCAGATTTAAAAACAGATTAATACACCGAATAAGGAGATGTTGATTTGCTTATGAGCTGTCTTTTATGTTTTCAGACCGCTCTCCTCCTCGCAGCCAAACACAACCATCACCTGATAGTCGAAGATCTGATCAATTTAGGTGCGCGTGTCAGTGAAAGGAACAACTCAGGAAAATCCTGCCTTCACCTCAGTGCTGAGAAAGGCTTCATCCGAGTGCTTGAGGTTAGAAACTTGCTTTTAGTAATACGTCATCGAATGTGTCTGGTTCCATATCTGCCCATTTGCTTTGTCCAAGTGAATTTGAGTAATAAAGTGGAAACAATAGAAATGCGTGCTGTAGGTGCGAATTTATGCATAACCAAATGACAAAGTATTTTAATGACATTACAGCATTGTCTAAAAAGGAGTGAGCCAAAGATGCATTTAATTTGCATATGTTAACAGACCTGGTACATTTTATTATTCTCAGATGATTGACTTTTATTCCATTTGCATTGAAGTACCATTTTGTCTTCTATTTCCAAATGGTTACGCAAACCCACCCAATTAATTGTTCAAATCATATTCAGTCCTTCTTTTCAATTTTTGTGTTTTAAAAGAGATGCGTTGAACCTTTATGTAATGTCGTAAAATTGGAAATGAACTGACTTTTAACATTCTTTGCAACTCGATGGCCCTACATTTGGAAAGTACCAATTACCAAGAAGTCGCCGTGTAAAATGCAAATCCACACAACTAAGGGAGTGTTCGGAAATTCAATCTGACGTCCTAAGTCTACTCGGAGAGTTTTCCATTACATTCCAAGTATGCGGCGAGTTTCCTAACCATCTGGAGTGTAGCAGAGCGCATTTGGCGTCCACAAAATATATATATTTTTTTATCTACGTATACATGTATGCGCGTGTGTGTGTGTGTGTGTGTGTGTGTGTGTGTGTGTGTGTGTGTGTGTGTGTGTATATTATGCTACACTTTGCATATATATATATATATATATATATAACAAAAAATATCAATATTCTCTTTGTCTCTCTTGGGCATATTTATTTCATAATAGGACATTTTATTTACACACACACACACATTTTACACAAGACACGGTGACAAGGATGTAAATAGTACACACAGAAAAACATATTTTGTGTTTGTGATGCTCATATACCTTCCGAATTATTACGAAAGTGTTGTTCGGATTAATTTACTGTCAGTGTCAACATATTCCCAATAGTTTGCAGTCCAGGGTGTGTACTTCTTTTCGATTTCGTCTTGCCATTTGACTGAGTCACGACTCTTAATTGAGCTCAACCATCTTGCTTGTGGTTTCTTTCAAGCTAGCAACACAGGTGACACACAACTTTCTCACGTGTCCACTTTATTTTAGGTTCTGAAACGCGTTATGCTGGAGGGTGTGTACATTGATGTTGAAGCAACCGATAAGTATGGTAAGTCTTTGTGGAAACCCACGTTGGGAAATTCCTTCAATTAATGTTCTTTGGATCTCTGGAACAATATGATGTCATAAGCATTGGTGTTTTGAACTCATTGTTTGTGTACAACTTCATTTAATTTTTAGCAAAGGTGGAATTAGGTCACATGCTGTCTGCTCAAGTCATTAGCAAGTCTCCAGCAAGTAACAAATTATGATGGCAAATATCAAGCAATTCTCATCCCAGCTAAATTTTAAATGGAGTCAAATCATCACCAGGTTTAAGCAAGTCAGAAGTCAATTCATCCAATCTTGAACAGTCACAAAATATATTAGGGTGAGAATACAATGTTGTCACTAATGATAACACCAAAAGTGTATTTATTATAAGTGTATTTCTGCCTCATAAAAGTTAAAGAGAACATCAGCATGTGAAATCAAATTTACATGTCAATACACTGCACTTAAAAAAGATATGCATCCCCAGACACTTTGATCTTTTACCATAAAAGTTTCCACATTTATTCATTAAATGTGTTACAAAATTAAAAATATAGTCAAGACATGATAGATGATGTTCGAAATAATTTTTGTTTTTTCCATCAAAATTTGGTCTTTGAAACTTTGCTTTTATAAATCATTTTGTACTCGCAGAACTTTGGCATTCTAGCTGTCAATTTGTTGAGGTACGCTGAAGGTGTGGTTCTCAACTGTTCTCAGCCTGAGACCTGCATCTTGTTATCGTTGCAAGGTTTTGTAGATGTAACGCTTTTTTTTTTTGATAGCCTCTGAAAATACACCTGTAGTTTGTTCCATTTTAAAACCTAGTGTCAAATGACTTTGACATACAGCCAAAAGCTTAATGGTAACTACTGTTGATGTCCCTTAGCCAAAAGGCCAATGCGCCCTGTAATTTATTAGAGAGTAAACTAATGCCAAGAACACAAGTGAGTAACATTTCACAACACTGAACCAATACTCTATTTTCTATGTGGGAACTTGGCACACTTCAGTAGTGTTCTGAAAGATTCTGCATACAAATGCAATGCAATGCAATTTTTTTACGCCCTGTCTGCAATCAACTTTTGGGTTGAGCCGGGTTTCAGACGAGCATCTGTTTCGAATAAGACAGGATGAAGGTACTTTGTCGTTATCCGTATCAGTGGTGATGGAAAATTGCCATTGAATAAAGACTTATGTAATCACCCGTCCCGTTCTGCATTGGGCCAATCACACACAGTGAGCGACCCTCCTGAGACAGTTTTGCTTAGAAGAGCAGCCGCGCTTGACTCTTTCTTTCACGTCCTTGGGTGAACTTGTTTTGTAACGTAAGCAGTGCAATTTGGCAAGCCAGTGTTCGTTCTTGAATTCTTGAAAGTTTGACAAACTAAAATTAGAGACAATTAAGATGATAGTGCATTCAATTTTGATTACATCTTGCAGCTTACATCAGCACTCCTGACATTTTTATAAATGGTGCAACTTAAATTGTGAGAGTGTGTGTGCGCAGAGGTCCCTGCTCCCTGCCCACCAGCCAGCCCACCACTCGCTCTGAGGCAACCTGGTTGATCCTGCCAATAGAATCTGCTCGACGATTAAACCATGCCAAAGTCTAAGTGCATAGGGCCCGTAACCTAAACTTGTAACCCTCCAAGATTTTGTATGATTGCAAGGACTCACAATTGTAGTTCTCCCCATCTGCCTTTGCGATAATTTTGGGAAAACAGCACTCTTGTCGCTTCAGAGGGATCTCATATCCAACCTGTCTAGCTTGCACACTCTTTTTCACCAAAGTGAGATGTGAATTCACTCGGACATAATGTTGACTGATAAACACGAATTTGATCACTTCTCCCCATTACTTCTTCCTACTCCCTTGAACATAATAATTGTGTTGAATGATGACTGATTTCTCTTTCCTTTTTACTATTTTATTTACCTTACTTTCTGTCAATGTATTACTATATATGTTTTTATGTTCAACAAACAAACAAACGAAACGAAATTGTAAATCCCTCCCCTGCCACTGCTACTATTCTGGCTGCATAAACAAATGCACGTGGGGATCCATTTGAAGCTTTATTCGTGGCGCGTTGGACGCAATCCTTTCTTTTTGAAAGGATGGGGATCAGAGTGGGAGTAAATTTTAAACACACTTTTTTTCCACACTGTAAAGACAATATAAGGAACGTTTTGTTATGTTTTTAGGTTACATTTGGTTTTGTGCTCTTTTTGTCGCCACCTGTTCTCGTCATCAGTGTCCCTTGTGTTTAACCAATCAACTCCCTCAACCCTTTGTGTCTTGTCCAGGGGTTTCTCATTGTCTTGTCACTTTGCTTGTATTTAGTTCCCTGGGTTCTGTCAGTCTTTGTTGGATCATTGTGAGCGTCAGTGTGCTCCTGTCTTTTTTTTTTTTTTTTGTTACCGGTACTTTGGTTTCTTGGATTTCCAGGGCTTTGTTCGAGTACTTCGAGTTCACGTTTTCACCTGTGTACCCTGCAAGTGTTTTTTTTTTTTTTTTTGGGAAATACATCTTGCTCAGTCTACCCTGCTCCTCCCCGCCGCCCTGCTTTTTGGGGCCCAACTACTCTACTACCTCGCAAAACCTGACAAAATGACCCTTTATTTATTTATTTATTTTTTTAAATTATTATTGTTTTTGTTTTGTTTTTTTTGTAATCGACTGTTTGTTTCAGTGCAAATTAAGCAAGACAATCACAATCAATGAAAATCACACACATCATCACATGTAAAAATAATGAGTAAATGACCAAAAAGAAGATTTGTGTCATCGGGCCTCTGGCCGGCCTCTGTGGAATTTCCATATTCTCCCCGTGCTTGCGTCGGTTTTCTCCGGGTACTCCAGTTTCATCCCACATTCCAAAAACATGTGCATGGTAGATTCATGAAACACTCTAAATTGTCCCCAGGTGGGATTGTGGGTGTGAATGGTTGTTTGTCTCTGTGTTCAGGCTCCAGCACGCCCATGAGTCTCATGAGAATAAGCGGCTAGGATAATGGATGTTTGGATGATGCATAGATGTTTCAAAGTTCTTAACCAATAAGAATTAGGAGTGATTACTTATTGAGTTAATTCACTAATTAACTACCTGATTAAATTATTTGTGGATGAGTTTAAGGAACACTATAACAAGTGGAAAAGTTGCAGTGAATGCCTCACTCAATAATTTTTAGCTTGTAAGTCTTAGTCCCAAGTGTGAAAATTTGTGGCCCAGGACTAACACGAGTCAAGTCATGTGATTTGAATATTTTTAATATACAGACCTAGATTTTACATGCTGAGTAGGTATTCATTCAAAGTTTTACATTCACATTACAATTTGGGGATGGGGGGGGCATGGTGAGCCACTGGTTAGCTCATTGGCCTCATAGTGCAAAAGTGGATCCCAGTGGGACATGCCACAAACAACTCACCAGGGAGGCGTTCAAGAGGCATCCTAATCAGATACACGACCCACCTCATCTGGCTGCTCTCAATCTGGGTGGGGGGAGGCGGGGGGCATTAGCTCAACTCTAAGCCCCTCCCAGATGACAGATCTTACCACTCTGTTTCTAATGGAGAGCCCGGACACCCTGCAGCTGAATCGTATTTCAGCCGTTGTATTCGGCATCTTCTTCTTTCAGTCACAACCCACAGCTTCCCCTTTTGGGTCAGCTCTTTTTTCGCCACGACGGACTGATACAAAGTCCGCATCACTGCAGACATATCACCAATCTGCCTGTCAAACTGCCATTCCATTTTTCCCTCACTCGTAAACAAGACCCTCGAACACCTCCACTTGGGGCAGGATCTCATCCTTGACCTGGAGAGGTGGTGATTTTCATCTCAATCACTCATGAACAAGACCCCAACATACTTAAACTCCTCCACTTGGGGTAAGATGCCATCCCCGACCTGGAGAGAGCACTGCACCCATTTCCGACTGAGGACCATTATTTCAGATTTGGAGGTGCTGATTTTCACCACCATACCGGACCCCCTGAAAATTCTGTCCATAAAGGTTATGAACAGAATCGGTGACAAAGGGCAGACTTGATGGGAATCCAACTCTCACTGGGAACGAGTCCGACTTACTGCTGGCAATACGAACCAACCTCTGACATCGGTGGTATAGGGACCGAACAGCCACTATCAGGGGGTTCGGTACCCTATACTCCTGAAGCACCCCCCACAGAACTTCCCAAGGTCAAATGGGAAGTTCTCAAAGTCCACAAAGCACATGTAGACTGGTTGGGTGAACGCCCATGCACCCTCGAGGACCATGCTAAGGGTGTAGAGCTTGTCCACTGTTCTATAGCTGGGACGAAAACTCCACTGTGCCTCTGTTTTGAAGAATATAAAATAACTGTATATCTGTAAATGTGTGTGTAATTCCTTTTTTTTTTGTTCTGTGCTTATATTTTTCTGATGATAATTTGAATTTTAACCACCATGTAACTGTGTACCGTATGTGTTCACAGGAATGAGTGTTCTTCAGTGTGCTTCAGTGGCCCTCAAGGCGACGTTGCAGCAATTGGAATTGAGCAAGAACCTCAGTCAAACTGGACTCCACATGCTCCGCAAAGAACAGCTTCTAGAGACCCTGGAGTGTTTACTGCAAATGGCCAGTTACTCTCATGTCATGGTTCGTACTCGTACAAAGACTGTAGAAGAGTTAGAATATAGTCCTATGCATGTCCATAAAAACATTTTGTTAAACTATAGCATGTATCCAGTGTGTATGAACTGTAGGCCTACAACTGAATCATAAATATGTGTATTATTCTATCGTCCCACATCTGAACACTACTACAGACGTCTACCAACTCAAAAATGGCTGAGGCATACAGCGCAGAAGCGTAAAGAGCCAGATAACTGTTCAGCCCATCATAAAGAGCCACACCACACTGAACTGAAAAAGTAACTTGAAATGTACAACTACAATAATAGGTACACTTATATGTACACTCTAGTTCAGGGGTCACCAACATTTTTCAAAGTGAGGGCTACTTATAAATGCAAATGGTTCTCATCTTGACACTTCTGAAATAATATGCTCAAATTACATTTAGAACGTACTAATAATTTATGATGTTCATTTATGTGAAAACACTGATGAAATTGATCCAAATAAGGATGCAACACTTTCTCTAAATCTCTCGAAGTGTTTAGATTTTCAAAACATTCCTAGAAAATCCATCACCAATGAGCTATTTGTAGAATAGGCCTGCAGGCTATTCTTTTGGCTCATGGGGTCATTGGTGACTCCTGCTGTAGCTATTTCTAATATTTTCGTTACCTCATCCAACGCAAAAAGTATTATAAATTGGTCTGTATTATATTATTCTATTCCACAGCACTGAACACACAATCTTCTTAAATGAAAAAATAAAATATAAAATACAGCTCTTTGATTGTACCAAATAGTAGCACACCTAATGTCGTAGCTGGTCATTGTGACCAGTTAAAACTCATTCACTTCCAAAGACATATTTATATGTCTTTTCACACTCCACACGTTCAACCGCGGATACTTGTTTTTTGTAATTTTTCCAAGACTTAGGGTAAAAAAAAGGGGGGGGGGGCGTCTAGAATTGGCTGGTACTGAATGTTAAGTGCTGCTAGCTAGCAGCTGTCTGCCAGCACAACTGTGGGAATCACAATGACAGAAAGAGTGAAGGAAGAGAAGCACATGACTTATTTTCAGCTGTCTTGTGTCAGAATCAGAGGAATTACAATTCTGTCCAAATGTAACAAATGGGAAACCTTTTATTGCTCTGCCAAACTTCCAAGTGACATCTAAAAGACACCTGGAGCGTCATTTTACCTCATGCTAATATTGACAAGACGATTTCAACTTCTCAAGCGCAAAGTAAACTTAGAGAAAGACGCCCCAAGCGCCCCAGCTACCCACCCCGGCTCATAGGCAATGTTTGGATGGATGACTTTTTGAAAATGAACCACCACCCCGCCCCCACTAAAACAAGTGAATATCAAAACATGGCTGTGCTGTCAGAAGTGTACGAGTTAAGGCTGAACAGTGTTAGTTGGTCTTTTCACCTAAGTGGCTAACAAACAAACAAGCTATGTCAGTGCTCTGGCTGGCCACCAGTATGCCCTGAATGTTTTATCATCAATCACACGATGACAATTTTTTTTCAGCGTAGGGACAGGTGTTGGCTCAGGCTCTTTTATGCTAAGTACTCCCTGTGGTTACACAATGACTTGTGTAGCCACAGGGAGTACTTTGTCAAAACATGACCAAGTTACCAATTAAAGTACAGCGTGGTACAAGAGTAACAAGCATGGTAGTCAGGTTTTTTATCTCTTTGTACTACATGTGGTTAATCTGAAGTTCCTTTTCCTTCTGTTCTTTCCACAGGGGACCTGGGGTATGAACGCCTAAGCCGCAGCATGTCAGCTCAGTAAAGACCCGACAGTAATGTTCTGAGTATGAACAGGCTTGGTTTGTGGGAGACCATCAAGTGTCTTCTCTCACGAATCCAGTACTGTTACGTAATGCATCTAAGGTTGTGTAAATTCCTTTTTTTAAGATCTTCACAAAGTTTAGGTGCCCATTAGATGGTTTCTGTGAAACTTCATTGTTTGTTACGTTTGAGTAGCAACTTGCCTTCAGTGTGTGGTCCACTTTTATAATCCTATGGAAAGTTGCTTGTATTATGCTGTCTAGCTTGATGGGATATGTTGGTGTACTATGTGCTGTATTCGGCTCAGGTTACAAATCCATGACCAAGTAAAACTAAAGGATATGTTTATTTGTATAAACACCAATGCTCCTCCATGCACGCACCAAACAAACAAACTCCTACAAAGAATGGATGAGCGCCATCACAGACAACAATTTGTTTGTCATCAGCAGACAATTAACTTGCCTACCTAAATACACATACCGGTAATTGAACTTGTGTTACCAGCTAGGACAGTTGTGGACATTTTGCAATGGTATTAAATTACTGTTAGCTGACTTGACGGTAATGTGATTGTGCTACTCTAAACATAGCCCAATCCAATGTCATTGTCTGTTTGTGTCAGTTTCCACCATTTCCATCTTGATATACAGTAGTGATAATCATTTTATAACCATGATAAGTGGATCAAGATCATACTTAAATATGAAAGGGCATGATATATTGTGTGTTGAAAATTTGTGTTGGGGAACTCTGTTACTTTATATTTGTTTTGAGATGGCGTGTTTCATGCAGGCACTTTGGGCCAAATTCTCTTGTGTGCACGAGTTTGAAAAGTGCACAGCTTGCACGCTTTTCTGGCTGCGTGCATTCTGCCATGGACATAAGCACTTTTCTTCTTCCTCACTCCAGAGGCTGTAGTAAGTCTAGCGCCTCGTGAAGGTGAAACATCGTGTTGCATGTTTTGATGGTGTTAACGACCCGGCAACTGCTTCCTCACGCCGACAGCGTGGTACACAACTGGCCGAAACCACTCAGTGACATTCACTGACTGCCTAATGGCCGTATGTCTGTCCTTACCACATTACTCTGATGGCCGAACATCATCATAACATATTCATTTAACTCATTCAATGCCAGACGTTCTATAGCCTCCTATAGCCTCTCACGTGAAAAAAGACAAAAAAAACGATGTAGTTGGGATTTAAATCTTTCTACGTGATTTTTTTTTTTTCGGCTTCAAACCTGCAACTGCCAGCTTGGAGTTTCTTTTTTTTTTAATGAAAGCGCGATTACAACAAGTACAGTCATTGTAATGGCAAAATGATGAGTTAGATCATTAATCGTTTTTTGATTCCCTTATATGCCGGTCATCATCTTTGTTGAAGTGACATGGCGCAAGATCTATAGAACGGCAGGAACATCCACCGTCTTACTGCTGCACCGCCAAACATGCATTCAGTCATTAACACAGTATCCTCATTAAAATACTTGGATTCATTTCGCGGCCCGGTGGTCGACTGGTTAGCGTGTCGGCCTCATAGTGCAGGGTGCAGGGTTCGATTCCGGCTCCGGCCTCCCTGTGTGGAGTTTGCATGTCCTCCCCGTGCCCACATGGGTTTTCTCCGGGTACTCCGGTTTCTTCCCACATTTCCCAAAACATGCCTGGCAGGTGAATGGTAAACTAAATTGTCCTTACATGTGAGTGTGAGAGCAGATGGTTGTCTGTCTGTGTGCCCTGTGATTAGCTGGCAACCGGTTCAGGGGGTCCCCTGCCTACTCCCCGAAGACAGCTGGTATAGACTCTGGCACGCCCCTCGACCCTAAGCGGATCAGAAAATGGATGGATGGATGGATGGATGGATTTCATACTGAATAGAAACTGCTTTCCCACAAGTAGTGTGTTTGACAAAGCGATGTGCACCTCCCACTGGCCGCTACGTAACGTACGGTCTATTTTTATCTTTAAAGTGTCCTAAATTGTTTAAATGGATTTGAATGACATTCACATGTCTCAGGAAAACTCCATGCACTTTGATTTACAGCCAAGCTCAGACTTAAGTGAGTCACGCCTCTTTGAGGTTGCGCACAATTTCCCAAGGTGTGTCAGAAGTCTGGATGGAAGAATGCACATGCCAGGCACAGGCACGTTTATTTAAAAAAAAAAAAAAAAAAGTCTTGCATGTAGACGGTAGAATATAGCCCTTGGTGAATTGCTTTTCATTTATGTCACATTTTACTATTTCATCGGGAAGTGTATATTTTTTACTCATTTACAACTGTTAAACAGTTTTTCAAGCCTCGCTTTTAGATCACGAGAAACACTTTTTACTCTACAACTGTTATTATAATTCCTGTATGTCGTCAAATATATTCCAGAGGCATTTCTCCTGTGCTATTATTACGGTGTCTGCCTCAAATACAACAACCTGATATTACTTTCTGATCTTTTGTCATGTCTTCAATTGTATCTGTATTTGTGCATAATGATTAATACTATAACTACAAGTTGCTTCTTTTTCTGATTTTATGCCAAATATTTGCGGATGTTCTGAATACGTGTGCTTTGTCATTGGCACGAAGCATAAAGAGAAAGAGCCCTTTGACAAAAAGGGACTTACAAATAACTGTTGATTTTGGGATGATTTGATGGTAGAGCCGAATTGGCAAGGCTAGTATTGAGACATTTATGTGGGAGATGTGAAAATACAGCATTTTGTGCTCTGCACTATAAGGTGCTTCCATGTGACAAAGACTCTCTGTGGCGATGTGCGAATATAACTGTGCATTGCCATCTTTGAGAACGAAATAAAGGCAACATATTATCCAAGTCCTCAAGGTTTCATTTGTTTTGAAGGTGATTTGTGTTTGGCAACATTCTTAAATGCAAATGAAAAAGAGCTGAACGAGTCGGCGGCAGTAGGCCTTCGTTTTTTTGTTTTTGTGTCACTGCTTGCCAGCTGCTCACAGGAGAGCAAGCGAGGAGGGACACGCCTTGAAAATGAATCAGCGTCAGACAGTTTTGTTTAATTTGTCATATTTGCTTTAAATATTGTAAGAACCTTGGAAAGGCATTGGCAAGCGTAAATTAAAACGGTGGAGTTGAGAAATGCCTTTCAAATTTTGATGTTCAGAACTTTCATAACTTTGCTGAAAAGATAATTGAGTGATATTGCATAAGGAATGTAACTATGCTTATATGCTCCAAAACTTCGTCACTGTGGAACTGGCATAGAAAATATACATATGGATGGGGTGGGGGCACCATTCAAGCTAGCACCGCCACTGCTTAAACTATGAGACTGCACGATCAGCTGATTTGGTTCTGTGCTCTTGGGGTGGATTCACAAAAGGTCAGCCCGGTGGTCCAGTGGTTAGCGTGTCGACCTCACAGTGCAGAGGTACCAGGTTCGATTCCAGCTCCATCCTCCCTGTGTGGAGTTTGCATGTTCTCCCCGGGCCTGCGTGGGTTTTCTCCGGGTACTCCGGTTTCCTCCCACATTCCAAAAACATGCATGGCACTCTAAATTGCCCCTAGGTGTGAGTGTGGGCGTGGATGGTTGTCTCTGTGTCCCCTCCGACTGTCTGGCAACCGATCGAGGGTGTCCCCCGCCTACTACCCGAAGACAGCTGGGAGCATGCCCCGCGACCCTTGTGAGGATAAGTGGATCGGAAAATGGATGGATAGTTTTTACAAAGTGATCCATTGCTGAGATGGACTGCAAGCTAACTACAATTTAAAGCACATTTAGAAATTCACCCATGCACTACTCTGAGAGTGGATCACGGACATACTTTATATGGATGGACTATCAGTCATTCCTGCACTGCTGAAGCCAGAGGGCAGCCATCTTACATTGCCACTGTTACTGACAACTTCTGCCCCCCTCCCCCACTCCCAATATGTTGCTATGTGCTATTGCCGACAAACTTTCCTGAATGTTGCCGCCCATTCAGGCCACACCAGTAACCAGCTGCAGCTATTATCCTATAATCTCAAAAGACATGAGGAAAAACGTGAGTGGTCCATTATGCTAAATGTCAGATTTTTTTCCCTCCTGAATCCACAGTGATCTTCGCATAAGATTCTTGAAAATTATAAGAGAAGGATCATGGCTCCACCCTGTCACCAGACAACATGATACACCGTCCACTGTCGTAACTGCTGTCCCTGAAAGTGCGGATGGTTGTCGTCTTTGTGTGACCTGAACTGGCTGGCTACCAGTTCAGGGTGTCCCCCGTTTACTGCCCAAGACAGCTGGGATAGGCTCCGCAACACTTGTGATAAGTGGTTCAGAAAATGGATGGATGGATGGTGAAAATGAGCAGGAATGTAAATAATTACTTTGTAATTTGAGTGCGCACCCTGAAACTTTCGACTTGCGCCCCGAAAATCTCAGATTAGTGGCCACGGTGAATGCAACGTGCAGCGAGGATGAGACGTCCACAAAGCCTGCGGCCTCATTGGCGACCGTCCCACATTCAGCCACCGTTGTAGCACTCTGAGGTTTAGGTGGTTAAGTGATTGCATCCACAAATGAGCAGTGGCAAACATGTAACAACTGGTAAAGGTGTCAAGATTCAAATGTCAGTCATATTTTTGGTTTGGCTGATGCTTTAATGCCCTGCCCAAAAAACCCCAAAGAGAATAGATTTATCACGCTGCAATGTGTGAAAACGAAGGCTGTATGCACGCAACAGTGACAAGCAGGCACAGTGCAGAGGTACCAGGTTCGATTCCAGCTCCATCCTCCCTGTGTGGAGTTTGCATGTTCTCCCCGGGCCTGCGTGGGTTTTCTCCGGGTACTCCGGTTTCCTCCCACATTCCAAAAACATGCATGGCACTCTAAATTGCCCCTAGGTGTGAGTGTGGGCGTGGATGGTTGTCTCTGTGTCCCCTCCGACTGTCTGGCAACCGATCGAGGGTGTCCCCCGCCTACTACCCGAAGACAGCTGGGAGCATGCCCCGCGACCCTTGTGAGGATAAGTGGATCGGAAAATGGATGGATAGTTTTTACAAAGTGATCCATTGCTGAGATGGACTGCAAGCTAACTACAATTTAAAGCACATTTAGAAATTCACCCATGCACTACTCTGAGAGTGGATCACGGACATACTTTATATGGATGGACTATCAGTCATTCCTGCACTGCTGAAGCCAGAGGGCAGCCATCTTACATTGCCACTGTTACTGACAACTTCTGCCCCCCTCCCCCACTCCCAATATGTTGCTATGTGCTATTGCCGACAAACTTTCCTGAATGTTGCCGCCCATTCAGGCCACACCAGTAACCAGCTGCAGCTATTATCCTATAATCTCAAAAGACATGAGGAAAAACGTGAGTGGTCCATTATGCTAAATGTCAGATTTTTTTCCCTCCTGAATCCACAGTGATCTTCGCATAAGATTCTTGAAAATTATAAGAGAAGGATCATGGCTCCACCCTGTCACCAGACAACATGATACACCGTCCACTGTCGTAACTGCTGTCCCTGAAAGTGCGGATGGTTGTCGTCTTTGTGTGACCTGAACTGGCTGGCTACCAGTTCAGGGTGTCCCCCGTTTACTGCCCAAGACAGCTGGGATAGGCTCCGCAACACTTGTGATAAGTGGTTCAGAAAATGGATGGATGGATGGTGAAAATGAGCAGGAATGTAAATAATTACTTTGTAATTTGAGTGCGCACCCTGAAACTTTCGACTTGCGCCCCGAAAATCTCAGATTAGTGGCCACGGTGAATGCAACGTGCAGCGAGGATGAGACGTCCACAAAGCCTGCGGCCTCATTGGCGACCGTCCCACATTCAGCCACCGTTGTAGCACTCTGAGGTTTAGGTGGTTAAGTGATTGCATCCACAAATGAGCAGTGGCAAACATGTAACAACTGGTAAAGGTGTCAAGATTCAAATGTCAGTCATATTTTTGGTTTGGCTGATGCTTTAATGCCCTGCCCAAAAAACCCCAAAGAGAATAGATTTATCACGCTGCAATGTGTGAAAACGAAGGCTGTATGCACGCAACAGTGACAAGCAGGCATCATAGGTGAATTATGTGTTATTCAATGGTAGAACTCTTTACAACCTCTAAAGCAGTGGTTCTTAACCTTCTTAGAGGTACCGAACCCAACCAGTTAATATCCACATTCACCGAACCCTTCATTAGTGAAAAACAAAAATATGACTTTTTACCAATTCAGGACATAAAAAATGCATTTATTAAAAACATTAAAAAAGTAAATAAAATTTCAAGACATAAGTATACGTTTTTTTTTTATTCACGACAGTCACATGTTGACTACCGAGCGAACTAAATTTCCTGCAGCACTGATTGGACAAGCAGTGTGATGTGATCATCTGCAGCCAGTGATGGCTAAGTGGGCGTGTCATAACTAATTGACACGTTGAGTCGGGTGTGTCTTAACCTCCATTGCAGAGGCTCCGTCGAAACCCCTGAGACTGATTCACCGAACAACTGGGGTTCGATTGAACCCAGGTTAAGAACCCCTGCTGTAAAGCCTTTTTTTGTTTGGTTTGTTCTGCATAGGGCCCACAATTGAGGTTTTATAGTAGCTTTTTAACTCGTCACACGTCACAACAAAGAAGAGTGACAACTTAAGTTGTTTATTTGTGTAGCTCTTAATCACAAGAGTCCCAAAAGGCTTGACAGGCCCACAGTTTAGCGATTTCCATACCCCCCTTGGGCAAAGAAAACATTCTGGAAAATCCTTTCGGGGGGTAAAAAGAAGAAATCTTGAGAGGTGATCACAGATGGAGGGATCCTCCATCCATTTTTTTTTTTTTTGTGATAAATGCTATTATTTTTCATGCAAACGACAATCAAGTTCAACTGCATAGTTCCTGTGTGAAGCACACACACAAGTGTTTTTCGGACTTGTTCTACCGGTGTAGGCAGTGAATATAAGTGATCTTTTTGGGGACTCACAACTAAATGCAGGATCCTGCGAAGAGAGGAAGCCACCAAGAAGATGAAAAAGTTGTAGCCACGCACATCAGCATGGAACCAATGACATTGTGACAGCACGATAGAGCGACAGCAAGAACAAACACAACAGTGAAATTGAAATTGAATATCAAGAGAATTATGATCACCACACACACCTTTGCGAATGTTTAAAGAGGAACAGGTGATGGATGGAAGTACTAATTATCTATACAAGTTAAACCGGTTTCTGTCTTCCTTGTGTCATTGCAGTTTTCTTCTTAAACAGTTCTATGTAAATGTACACAGACCCAAAACGGGCAACGTTCGCTTAGTCGGTGAAGCGTTTAGCTTGGAGGCATCGCACCCCCATAATAAATGGTCCCGAAGGGGAGTGGTGGGGGTTGGGGGTGGGGAGCGATGCTGCCAATGACGCATATCACCAACGCAAAACATTCTGTACAGATCGGGAAGCGCCACCCTGATGATTTTTCGGTGGGTGGTCCTCATAGGAGCCTCCACCATGCTTGGGGCTACCAGAAAAGTCTTGATAGTGTTTTTATTAGCTTTAGTATTGGTTTTCTTTTTTTTTCATATATATGGAATTGTTGTCACATGCAAGATAAAAACCAAAAAAAAAAAAAGGTCACAAAGTATCGTGTAAACCACAATGCCAAAACAACTGTTCAAGCTTCCTTCTTCTGGACTTGTATACCGAAATAAAAACTTCAAAAACAAACCCCAAAAGCTCACGTATGAAATTAATTGACAAAGACGAAACCGAAAGACATTTTTGCATTATCACACACTTTAATCACAGGACACTTTATGTGTCCCCAAATGCATTCTCACACTGATTTCAAAAATGTCTTTAATTTTTTTGTAGGTTTTTGAGGTATTTTTATTTTTTGCTTTCAAATTGACCTTTAAAAGCCTGGGCAATCCAGATTTTAGAATACGTTGTAATTTAGAGCTACAGTATTACGTTAAAAAAAATTTAAAAACAGACACTTTTTGACCAACCTAATGCTTGATTTATAAACATTGCTTGATATATTACAATATTACTTAGTATTCTTATAATTAAAACCTGATGTGTGAGAGAGAAAAAAAACTAGGACAGGGTTGGAATAAGCGCTCAAAAGTCATCTTGTCTCCTTGTATCGCTCATTTAAAAAAATGAGTAAAAATGTGTTGATCAGTGTTATCATTCTAGACAATTTTATAAAAATAAAATGTAGTTCAGTGAGTTGTTGTTTTTTTAAGGCACTTATTTTGATTTTATTTCACTGATGAATTTTTTTCTTTTTCAATTTTAATCACTAACAATAAGAACCTTAAAATAGTCTCCCTTAAATGAACCAATGCGGCTGGCCCGGTAGTCGAGTGGTTAGGGCGTCGACGTCCCAGTGCGGAGATCGTGGGTTCGATTCCGGCTCCGGCCTTCCTGTGTGGAGTTTGCATGCTCTCCCCGTGCCTGCGTGGGATTTCTCCGGGTACTCCGGTTTCCTCCTACATTCCAAAAACACGCATGGCAGGCTGATTGAACACTCTGAATTGTCCCTAGATGTGAGTGTGAGAGCGAATGGTTGTTCGTCTCTGTGTACCCTGCGACTGGCGGGGAGGTGTCCCCTGCCTACTCCCTGAAGACAGCTGGGATAGGCTCCAGCATGCCCTGCGACCCTTGTGAGGATAAAGCGGTTCAGAAAATGGATGGATGGATGATGAAATGAGCCATTTTTAAGGGGTGGTCCTGTTTGATGCAAATGAACCTCTGCTCATCCCAACCCGCTTTGCAGAGGGGCCAATACCAAGTACAGCCTCGTTACCAAGACAACCTGGGCAGAGCTAATGTGTCAAGTGAACAACCCAGAGTCTGAGGAGAAAAGCAAGCGCCCATAAAGATGAACTCAAAGCATTATTTCTATTTTCACTCACGGAGGCAGTACTTCACGACCAGGCTGCCAAACTACACTTGTTGCACCAAATTCAAAGACTCCATGGAGTAAATGTGAAACCTCAAAATTATTATCACTATTCTAAATGTTACTTCAGGGCCTTTCCGCCATTGGTGAAGACACACAGAGAGCTGACGCATTAAAAACAGAAAGGACAACATTAAATGGACAATTGAAAAAGGAGGACACGGATGCACTTCGGACATAATGGGAGTTCTCGACCCTTCGCAGTCTGTGAGGGATCTACGCTTAGTGTAGCCGAACAATATACATACAGTACATACAATACATCTTTATTTATATAGCGCTTTCAAATCCGGAACATTTTCAACTAACAGTTGTAGATTTATGTTCATTGCCTCAGAGATGGTTGAGATTGCATCCCTCATAATGGAAACATGACGTCTGTCCTTTATTTCTTATCAACAGACATAACCAGACTTCTTTGTTTCATTTAATCCACCGACATCAACAACCATTCACCCGGCATCCAAATGCCACCCACATCCACACAGCCGCTCAGAATGAAACGAAACCCGTCTCGCTGGTACAAACATAGCTTGAGAGAGCTGCAGGCCATTGGAACAATACTCATCCACTGTTCTGCTCCACCACCACCACCACTGGATGTGCGCCGTAAATCCTCCCCAGCCCACATAAACCCCCTTGTTCTTGTTTTTGCTTCTTGCATCACATCTCCCAGTGCCATGCTCTTCCATCACACACACACATACATAGATTTATACACACACACACACACACACACACACACATATTCAGTGTGTGTGTGTGTGTGTGTGCGTGTGTGTGTGTGTGTGTGTGTGTACTTTATATTACGCAAGTATACTTTTTATAATTTCTCTGGCGCATGCTGTTTGTCACACCAAGCAAGTTGCTGCAATTAGTTAGTATGCTGAGAGGGACACCTGGTGGTGGAGGATCCGCTTTGGGTTTTGGAAGCTGTTTACTCCAACAGACAATGTGTCCGTGGCTCCCTGTACAATCAATCTCATGTGCCAATCAATCAGGTGTTGTTTGCTCGCCAGCGTCCCTGTCCGTCGTCATGGGGCCCGAGAATGGTTATCATGATACGTGGAATAACAATAAAAGGAGGGCCTTTTATTGTTATTCCACGTATAAATGTAGCTTCCTTAAACTGCGCCATTCATGTGAAATTCGCAACGTCATTAGAACGGTATTGTAGGTTTAAAAAATATATATATATATATATATATATATACATATATATATGCTACTTTTGTGACGCGTCCAATGTATATAATCGATATTTAAATAGCGCTTTCACAACAGCCACAGCTGTAACAAAGAAATATGTTAATACGGTATGTTATAGCATAACGTAACATGTTCAATAATCTTTCCAGAACATACCAAGCATAATGTTCCGTCCAGAACATTTAACATAAAATAAGAATAATCCAACACATAAAATCGAGCAGGAGATTCACACACTCTCAAGTTCATTTTGTACTATTTGCAGCTTCAGACGATTTATTTCACAGCACTCAGAATCAAGTTTCACTAACACATTGTTAAATGAATAGGCTACCTAATTTATATCATTTATATATATTTTTGATTGCCAGGTGCTTTACAGCTCCCAGTCGATTTGCATCTAATTAGACGTGCGTGCGAGCGTGTACATGACGTAGAGTTGTCGATTAATGTTTATCTGTACAGCATTATATTTGCAGTATGTATGGAGTTCAAAAAATGTGATTCCTAAACGGCATAACTCAGTCTCATCTCTTTTTTTTCAATCTTTAAACTATAGCTACATTTTTAATTACCTTTCACCGCAGTGTACCACTTCATTCGGTGACAAAAAGCCACTTTCCACCTAGATCTCATCTCAATATGATTTCTCATACTAATTTAAAAAATTAAAAACTCATTTGTTTTCTTTGACTTTTGACTCACCATGGCTCAAACTTGATTTTAGTTGTTTGTTTTTGTGCTTTCTACTGTCGTCATTATTAATGGTTTATTCTTGTATATATGATATTTGCTCCATCTACAACACTTTGTCTAAAGTGGTGGTTGTTTTAAAGTGCTCCATAAATACAGTTGAGTAAAATTAAATAAGTACACTTCTCTGTCACGTTATGACCTCTTGCACAATATGGAGATACTCTTTATAAATATAAATCCATCTGAATTCAATGAACAGGAGAGCGAATCGACACTTTTCATGTCATTCCCTGTCAGCCCAGTTCTTTATTCTGATGGTTCAACTTTGCATCTCTTGCGCCTTCATGAAAGTATTGTGCGATATTGCCTCATGCACTTGAAAGGCCTTCAACTGCTGCGAGAGATACCAAGAGACTTCACTCAAACACACACACACACACACACACACACCCACCCTTAGCTGGAAGATGATATAGTCAACTTCTGCAGAAAAAGACAGGATGTTTAGTGGAAAGGTGTCAAGTTTGATCCAGCCCGCAGTAGCCGAGCGACACAAACTACAATGCAGCCACCAAGAGCAAAAACATGGTCATACTGCAAAGGTCGCCAGCCAATCACAGAGGTCATACAGGCATTCGCACACATACAACTAGAGAAAATAAATAAATAAATAAATAAATAAAATAAATAGAGTCAGAGCCAGGGGTGAATGAGACATGACTGCTTTATTTGGCTGTAATTCACCTGATGCATAATTTCCTGACATCGGCATTGATCAATAAAAGGACCTGAATTCTCAGAAATATCAAATTGGTCAATAACAACAATTCTGTCCAGTCACACTCATTGTGAGTTTATTGTTGCGTGATTGTTTTTTTCGCAAAATACAGCCAGAAAACCAAAGGCAGAAGAAGAAGGTGAGGAATTTAGCTGGGACAATGAATTATTTAGTGTTTCTCTGAGCCCCAAAACCAAAACCTGAGTATGAATCACACTGGCGAAAAGAGAACAAAATCTTGACCAGATGAGGTGGAGAGCTGGAAGTCATGCAGTAAACAGAACAATGCCTTCAAATAACACTCACTCATGCTGTTCCCAAAATCAAACATGCATTGGTTATTTCAGTGGGGTTAAGAAGTGCAAATACACAATAATTGAACAATACAAATCCCTTTAATGATTCTGAATATGAATACTTATAGAGCATGTTTACATACCTTTTCAACAATCCCTCTCTTCATCTTAACGCAAATGGTAAATGAATATTATTCAGTAAAAATAAAATATAATATCTATATATATATGTATATAATTTTGTGCGGCTCTGCCTTGATGCCACCAATGTGTGTGTCACAAAAACCACACGCAAATTCAAATGACTATCACTATTTTTTTTTTCTCAGTCGCAAGCGCAAAACTCAGAAGTGATCACAAAGGCTTGTGAGTTCAATTGGGGTCACAGTGGTCACGGACAAGTTCAGCATCTCCTCTGGAAATCACGTCACTAAGGCTTTGTAGAGTTCATCGACACCCTTTTTTCTGCTGTTCTTGATGGAAGCTTTGTTTTTTTTCCTGCTCTCCTCTGGGCAGATTATTAAAGTCAACATATTTTTTTTTTATACCAAAACCATGCAACTACCAGTTCATTTGAACAAGACTTGAAACCCATCTGTGTTCTTGACTTGTTAGGGGGTCAGCGTGGGCGCTTTTTAGGCACTGCCATCTTGTTTGAGCCGCTGACTGCGAGCCTTGTAGACCTCGATGAGTAAATCTTTCACATACTGAATCTCTCTTTCCACCGATTCCGCCTTGTCGCGAAGTTCCCTGTTCTGCCCTTCCAGTCCATGAAGCTCCTCTTCCAGAGAATCCAACTCTGCTCGTTTCCGCAGCCTGTACCTGCAGAGGAAATGTGTTTGTTGGAGTTACTTTTGGTTGGTTGCCTGGCATCCTGATGAATGAGATGAAAGAGGGTGGAACCTTTTGGGATTTCTCTTGGGATGTAAGGAGTGAGGAGTGCCGACTCATGTCAATTTACCGGACATACATTATCATACTTAATGAGGCTACTTCCTTTGAGCACCAAACAAACTCCATGTCAACATTTGACATTGAGTAGCCCAACTTCAACATCCAAAACACTCAAGCGCCATGATAAACAGTTAAAGCGCGGGGGGGAAGACAAGTTTACCTGTGAGCAGCAGTTTTGTTCTGGTCTCTCTTCTTCTGCTTTCTCTCCCCAGTGTTCAAATCCAAAGAAGCGGTACCGACCACAAGCGTTGATTTAATGGAGCACGGCTCATCCTTTAGCCTTTGGGTTGGGCGGTGGATGGGAGCGCCGAGGAGCGTCCCTTCGCCCTCTCCTCTGGACAGACATTCGTAACTTTGGTCCGCAAGGCATTCCGGATAGAGGTAGTGGCCGTGTTGGGGCTCCACGGCTTGCGACGGCTGGTCGAGTTCACCGATAAAGCTATGATATGGCTCTGTGCTGGCCATGGATTGGTGGAAGTAGCTGTCGGCAGCCATCATTGTCTCTTGGGGAATACTTCCAGACAGTCCTCCATCTTTGCTGCAGTGCAGGACCTCGAGTCCGGCGCTGTCATAACTTACATTGACCTTCACGTTGTGCATCAGCTGTCCCTCTCGCTTGTGGTGGCCGTCGTAGGAGCCACCCAGGCAAAAACTTCGCGCAATCTCTTCACTGCAAAACATTCCTTCGGAAAAACAATAGCTCTCCTCTTCCTTCAACGATAAAGCACATTCTCTCACCTTCTTGATGCCACTCAGGCTGTTCTTGCTCACCGTCTTCAACGTGGAGTAGTGGTTCACAGAAAACTCTGTGCTTCCTGAGTAACTTCCCCTGGTGCCCCACGAATCCAGTCCGACGTCCTCCCCGACTTTCACTGCCTCGCTGATGATTCTTCGCCCACTGTTGTGGTGGTAACGGTGGTGGTAGTTGTATGGCGCAGGTCGCGCAATTTTGGATCTGCCCATAGGACCGCTACAGAAGCTGGCCAGGTCCAGTTCCCCTGTTGCCAAGGTAACAACCACAGGGCTGGTGTCTGATTGGCCGGTCCCATATGAGCCATAGGGTAACTGGTAGTAAGACTGCGAGCCCATAGCTTGGGCACCTTTGTCACATTTCGAGGATTTCTCCAACTTGCTGGCCGTGGCTGTGGACTCGGAGCGGAAGTAGTCCTCCAGCTGAGCTAGCTCCTCCTGCAAGAGAGAGGTCATGACCTCCAGGTCTGAGGGCACCTTGACATCTTGTTCTAATGGTGAGGGCGGAAGGGATGAGCTGGGAGACGACTCGGTGGTTGACACGAATGAAGACAAATCAACTTTTTCCGTCATCCAATCTGAGTGACCATCACCTACAAAAATAAAGATTCAGATGAATAAAATCTCATTTGTTCAGAATTTTATAAAAAAATGATTGAATAAAAAGACTCAAATGCAGGAAAAAAAATCAAAATGCTTAATTAAATCATGTAGGGAAAAACAATCAATGTTGAAATCAAACAAAAGAAAAAAATAAAAAATAAGAACTCCCAATAAAATCCAACAACTAACCGATCATCTGAAAATGATTGAACAGCATCGTCTGCATTCGATAAAAATCCACTTAGCTGTACTCACTGTACGACATTAGTCCCGTGCTGCACTGCGGCTCCGACCTCAGGATGTGGAAAAATAAAAAAGCATCTTGGAAAAACTCACCAATTAAGTGCTGCCTTTCCACTGGCTCCGCCCCCGTCGTGGGCCGCGATTGGCTAGGGCTAGCCTGCCGGAGAGGGAGAACGTGAAGTCCGCCTGTGAAAATGGGGTGAATTTTCCTGCGAAGGATCAATGCCGCCATTGTATCGTCTGCTGCGATTAAATTGTGAAATGGCCCGAATAGTGCAATTGATGGATGAAGTAGTCATGGAAACACCTGAAGACCTGAGAAACAAAAATAAATCATCTGTTACAATTTTTTGTTTTCTCCTTCGGATGCTACAGAACAAAAAATTAAATAAAACACATTTACACACATAAAAAAGACAAAAAATTGAATTCCACAAAAACTGAATGTGAATCACGGTTTTTAAAGCCACTGTACAATTTAACACGTTAAAAAAGTTTTGAAAAAGAAAGAGTATTGTACTTAAAACAGCTGTCACTGATGTCATTGGAACAAATTAACAATATCCGTTTGAAGAACGACATATGTCTTAAAAAAATAAACAAAATGATTTTTACATTCCATAGAAAACATAAAAACTACAAAACACAAAAAAAATAATGATTGATTGAAACGTTTATGAACATGTTGCATAAATCGACAGTTTTTTTTTTTTTATTACCTGAATTACCTGAAGCAACAAGATGTATTTTAAAAATGGAAAACCAACTTATAACATGTCATTCTTGGGTTAAAACAATCCCAAAGAAATAGTTTGAGAGTCAAGTGTCAATTTAAACTGAGTCCGTGGGGTTTAAGAGCAAAAAGTAGGCACTGATGTTCACCGCTAAGTCACCCGCCCCCCCCAAAAAAAAAGTTGTACTTACCCCATAGTTCTGTGTGGTGTCAAGTGCGTTGCAAAAGCAAAGCACACGGAGTTTAGAACGACGACGGAGACGAAGCCACGCTTTAAAAAGCCATATCTTCCCTTTTAGGAAGCCAGCAATTGTTCGTGAAGCGATATTAGCGGCAAGAACACTTGAAGACACAAAGTTTTTAAGTCGCTTACTTCTCCAACTCCAGACGCCCCGACCGGATCACATTTCATGAAATCACTCCGCACTTTGCAGAGTTCAGCCGCCTCTTACGTCATCAATTCGACGGGACTTTCCCGCTACCAAGAGACTTTCGACTCACCATATCACTTTTGCATTCCGTGTTTTCTTTTGCATTTAGGTCGTTATTGCTACGCATTCAAGACAATTACTCAGCAATTAATAAATAGTGGCAAAGAAAATTTTTCACAGCGGGAGAGCATCAGCACACACACACGACGCCACAAAAAAAGCATAAAGTAAGAAACTGTTTCCTTGAAATGAAAAAAAAATCCAATGTACGTAATAGTTTGTCTTAAATGTTGAATTCAAAGTTGGCCTCTGCCACACGTTTAAATGAAGAGTGCGCAGAAGTTCATTGCATGTGGCTCAGACAGCGGCACTAGGTTTCGGTGCGCCTAGGCGGAAGGACACAGTATTGCAGCGTGAAGGTGTAACTTTAGTTGCAGCCCTGTTGCATCAGATGCGCAGGGGGACTCAACACCGCGGTCTCACCATTGGCTTATAGTCGGAACTTTTTTTTGTGTTTGTTTTGTTTCTATTGGCCCTACCATCATTCTTACACTGATTGCTAATCATTTCACATTAGCACCAACGAGGGAGAAATGTGTTACTGAGCTCCAGAAATAATCTAAGAATATAATATCCTTGTCAGATATAATTAAACAGCTATTGCACTTAAGCTTATTAAACGTCTCTTTATCTTTATGCTTCCTTTTTTTATTTAATGATCAGATTTAAATTAATAAGCATGCGATTGTGGGATAGGACACAAAGTGAAATACACTTTCAGTTATAAAAATTGATAAAATGATTGCTGCACACGATTAACATATTGCCCCCAAGTTTTTCGAGATCTGTTTTGTTTCCTTTTTTAAAATATTAAAATAAATTGATTTGAATTGAATAATTTTTCATGATTATCTTTACCTTTCTTTAGATCTTTTTTTTTTGGTTCAACAATGTGGTTCTTGGAGTGAAATGTTCATACATCATTGCACAAATATATAATACAGAAGAATATAGCAACAAAAAAGGTAACAAATAGCATAGAGGTTTAAAGAGGTTCCAGGTCTGATTAGACTTAGAGTTTTTCCCGAATGCTTAAACTTTAACAGTGATTCTTGGAGCACAATTTCTAAAACTATTGATGACAATTGCAAAACCACTTTGCAAATCCAAAAGGACAAACACTGCTTTCCACTGAGTTTGTCATTCTGTAACACACACTTTGCAAAAGTGTGAGTTCATTCCATCCGCCCAGCACTCTTTTTGCAGAACTAGAACACACAACTCAGTGCTTTAGACTCAATTTCCAAATGATTAAGACACTCCCTGCAAAACTATACACATTTATGGATACTATTTACACTTTTCTGTCCATTGTCTGGTCACACTGTCACAGGAAATACTGATTTTGATAATTAGTTCACTTTGTAATCAGCCTGAGCGCTCTAAAGAAGCCACAGGTAATGTGTTGGTGTGGAGTACAATTGAGGGAGCAGAAAGAGTGAGAATTAGAGGAGGCCGATGAAGAAGACGTGGAGGTGAAGAAGCAAGATGGAGAGGACGAGGAGAAGGACAAGAAAGTGAATGAGGAAGGAGAGAAAGAAATAGAATTACGGATGACATCAGAGTTATGACAATGGACCGTGTAATCAGCCATCGAATAAGCCAAAAATACTTGAAATTTGGCCTTAAAACTGACTTAAAAAGTGACTAGCACAAAGGGGAAATATTGGAAAGTATAAGCAGCATTTCAATTCATGTTACGTTTGTTAATTGCAAAGCTAGTAGCTGAGTCGTGTCGTTAACCAAATTTATTATCTCAAGTTCTTTTTGGAGAATAGACTGTCTATACCGCCCTCTCCCCACCATTCCAGAACGGCTCCATATTCTCTTGTTTTCTTTCTTTTTTTTTTTTTTTACCTGAACAAACAACGCAAATCTCCATCGACATGACTTTGACAGCTGCTTGTCCCGCCTCCCTGACGGACCTGCACCAGTGGACTGAACCTTGGAGGAAGCATGCAATGATTGGCCAGGGTCTGGTCAGCAACGCATTAGTAGAATGACATCTTGCCTGGTCCAATACACAGAACGAAATTTATCTGCTAGTCTCGACGGCGCGACCGTCGTCCATCCATCCACTTTCTACCGCTTACCAGAGTCGAGTCGCTGGGGCAGCAGCTTTAGCAGGGAATCTAAGCCCAGACTTTCCTCTCCCCAGCTCTTCCCGGGGGATCCCGAGGCGTTCCCAGGCCAGCTGGGTGACATAGTCCCTCCAACGTGACCTGCGTCGTCCCCGGGCCCTCCTGCCGGTGGGACATGCCCGGAACACCTCACCAGGGAGGCGTTCAGGAGGCATCCTAATCAGATGCTCGAGCCACCTCATCTGGCTCCTCTCGATGTGGAGGAGAAGCGGCTAGACTCTGACAGACAAGACCTTATGTATAGGGAACACGAAAGTCATACATGTTTTTCATTCTTCTTATCAGTGTGTAGTTAGCATATTTGTGTACTTTCTAATATGACATCTTGTGTTTGATATAAAATTTTTTTTTTTTTTACGTTATGGTCTGAAGAGTTAAGTAAGACTTATTTTCAAGAGAAGTACAGCGTTTTGCCAATTTGGTGAAAGGTTTTCGTATATGTGAGAAGAATTTGGCAAAAATAGGCAATAGTTACCAAAGTTGTTGTAAGAATCAGAAAAAAATGTAATAACAACAGTACCCCATAAAGGGTTTGTAAAATGTTTGCTCAATGTAACTCAAGTTCAAGTCAGAAACACTTGCAATGCATTAATGCAGCTACAAACAATTTTCAACATCTCATGGATCACTGTTAGGCCCGTTCAAGCAACTGCCAAACTTAAATACATGTTGTACATAACTGTACAGGATGCAACTCTTGGTTTTCTTATCAAATGGAATTTGGAAATTGATGACCCTACTACCTTCTTTTGTGGAGTTTGCATGTTCTCCCTGTGCTTTCTCCTGGCTTTTTCCAAAATTCTGAAATCATGCTTCTTAGGTTAATTGACTCTTAATTGCCCATTTGACATGAACGTGAGTGTGAATGCTTGCAGTTATGCGGCTGTATACAGAAATATGGACACCCCCCCCCCAAAATTGCAGCGGCAATTGCATCACTCAAACAATTTATTTAACAGATCGAGCATGTAAGATGTGAGGAGGAAGAAAAAGACACAAGCAACAAAAGACTACACCTACCGAGCTAATCTACCCAATGCAGGTACGAATAACTAATGCGAGTGGGTGAAACAAAAGAGGAGCTAGCCATTGAAAACAAAAAAACAAAAAACTAACAATTAAAAACAACTATCGTACATTACACAAGAGGATTGGCACGAACCTACACAACGATAAACATTCCAGCAACTAGCTCCTCTGACTGCAGGGCTTATACACCTAACTAATTGTGATGACATGTGCGCTGGAGACTCCACCCCTCCATCTGTCCCAGTAACTGAAAGAAAAAAAAGCAGATCTACATACCTGACTGATCAAAACAGCTTGCGATTGACTGGTTAACAGTTAAGGGTGGACCAAAGTCAGAAGAGAATAAGGTCCAGTTGACCCAAATTGTGACACAGGATAGAAAATACACTACCGTATTTTCCGCACTAAAAGGCTCACCGAAAAGCCTTCCATTTTCTTAAAAGCTCACAGCGCGCCTTAAAATCCGATGTGCCTTGTGTATGGTCATTACGGCAATATTTCGACACCAAAATGGCTCCTTGCTCGAGACATGCTGACAAGGCAGAGTTCAAACTTAAGGCGATCGGTTTCGCAGTTGAGCACGGAAATAGAGCAGCGGCAAGAGAGTCCGACGTTAATGAGTCAATACTACAACTTGCTATTGGTGAAGTGAACTGTGTCGTGCTTTATTAAATACGTTTTACTGACATCTGATTGTTCTGTTGAAGTTTCCTTGAGCGTAGCTCCATCTAGTGCATGCATTGTAGATTGCGTCTTATAAAGCGGTGCGCCCAATGTATGAAAAAAAATTACAAAATAGGCCATTCATTGAAGGTGCGCCTCATAATCCAGTGCGCCTCTTAGTGTGGAAAATACGGTACCCACAAAAAAGTTGGGGTATTCGACGAGCCTGAAACACATTCAAACCTTTACAGGTTAACATAATGTGACCGAAGCTTTTGAATGCTCATGTCCATCTGTTAAATGTATCAATACTTTTTACATAAGTTGCAGTTCTCTGAGGTGCAGGGTTTACACGTTCTCTTTGTGCCTGTGTGGGTTTTCTCCGGGTACTCTGATTTCCTCCCACCTTCCAAAAACATTCGTGGCAGGTTAATGGAACACTCTAAATTGTCCTAAGGTGTGATTGAGAGTGTGAATGGTTGTTCGTCTGTGTGTGCCCTGTGATTGGCAGCTAGCAACCATTCAAGGTGTCCCCCGCCTACTGCCTGAAGACATCTGGGACAGGCTCCAACATACCCTGCGACCCTTGTGAGGATAAGCAGATCAGAAAATGAAATGGACAGTATAATCAGATTTATGCAGACACATATATGAAACAATATATTTAAAATAAGTGTATTATATATTTTATCCATTTGACTTCATCCAGGACAACTTCGGGAGAAAGACAAACACCCTGAACTGCCAATCAGCAGCAGGGCACATTTAGAGACGATTCAGACAAACAACCATTTACATTCACACCGTCACTAAGTGGGAACCAAACCAACGTTGCCAGCACACAAGTCAGAGGAGTGCACCACAACACCATCAGTGACTATGATACATTTTGGTTATGATCAATCAGTGGCGGATGCTGGTCTGTCAAAGGGGGGAAGCTCAATTTTGGCCAACATCATAAAATGTGTCAGTTTATTTATACGTGAATTCTACTCTCCGTTCCTTTTCAAGAAAATGATCTGTGACACTGTCATACCAACAAGGCGTCTTTTCCAGGGACTTAATTAGTGTCCTACAACTACAGGAACTACAATAAAACCCACCAGAAATAAAAGATTACTTTGTCGCTCGTTGTTTACAACAAAGAGTGTCGCTAAAATGATTAGGAGAAGTCTCCAGCTCAACTCAGGACAGAATGCGAATTGAAAAATTGCTCACACGGATGCCACACTAAAAGGTCGGTGATTGGCTCATTTCGATGTCAATCAAACTGGCACACAGGCTCAGACA